AAATAAAAAATAAATTATTTTGTTATTAAATCTAAATTAAATTATAATAAAAAATTAAATTAAAGAAAATTGCATAAGAAAACTAGAACTTTTATATTTTCTAAAATTTATATTTTATTTGAAAATAAAAATATTATCGATTTCTCAAAACCACATAAGACCATTTTATAATATTTACAAAGACAAAAAATAAAACGAAATATTAAAATCGAGATGTATCTTGTTATATTACGCGAGTACCATTCTTATAAGTTTTAAGGGAAATTAATAAAATAGTTATTTTTAGATTTTGGTTTCATCTCGTAGTTATTTATCTTTCAATAAATAAAAAAAATGTAATAAAACAGTTTCTGAACCAGATCCGCAAATATAGAGACCAAATCTATTGATTAGATATAGGTTTGCAAGTGTTGGACTAATTTATGCACCGGACTTGTAGACCTAGTTTAAAAACTTTTTTTTTTTACACTTTGACCTCTCCATAAGTTGAGGAGTTGTCACTTACAGAGGTAGTGACATTTTTGAAATATTGGGAGAGAAATTGCTAAAATGTGACACCAAAGTTTAGAAATAGTTATTTTAATTAATTTCCCTAAGTTCAGAGCATCTTTAATATATATTTAAAATAGATAAAATAGGTTTTTGTTATTTATTTTAATCTAACAGATTTTTTATATTGTGTTTTAAAATAGAGAAATCTTCAAATTTAGAGATGTTTTTAAAACTTTATCTGTAAAAAAATAAATAATTTTATATTCATACCTACTAATGATATTGAATTATTATTATTTAATATAATTTATATAAAAAATATGTATCGAGATGATATATTTATATAATATTTTAATAATATAATAGATGTTGAAATTCTAAAATAGAAATTTTGTTGAAATTAAATATAATATTTTTTTTTCCAGGTATTTTGATTTTTAATTTTAAAAAATTATAAAAAACATATTCAAGAGTCTACTGGAACACGTAACTCTCATAAATCATCAAATTCTTTTATTATAGCATAGTTGTGGAGATGCTCCAACGCATTTTATGCTAACCTGAAAATTACCCCTTTACTCGTCACCCAACCCATTAATTTTGCCAAGAGTTGCGATGGGCATTACTATTGAATTATAGTTGTTCACATGTGGGAATATCTGACAGTAAAACGAGCTTCTGTAAACATTATAAAAAACAGGTCGGTCAGAACCAGTCTATTTTGATTAATGGACAGACATGAATGATGCAAAAATTATTTTAGACATAATCGTAAGAGACACATGTTTGTGTATAACTGTATATGTCATAAAAATATAATTAATTATTTTTGAAAGGCAAGCAATATATTAAACAAAAGCACGTATTCTAGAAGAACGTATTTTATAAAATACACGAATCTATAGAATTCACGACTTTATAAAAAACACGTATTTTATTAAAACTTATAATGTTTTGAATTTTTGCAAACATGACAACTTCGCTCACTCGTTAAAACATGGTGAAAGTAGCATCAAGTGATCCTCCAAAGTGTTCTTCAACCAGAAGCATCTAAAATCTCGTCTTCTCGACACACTTTTTGAGGATGGATTACATGTGGGTTTTGTATTTTCGTAATTTAATATCATTAAATTTTAAATTAATAATGCTAAAATAACTCGTTAATATGATAGATGTTTTCTCAAATCATCAAAAACCCGAAAAATACGACACATACATAATATTGTAACAGCAAATGCACCGACACAACTTGAATAACATGATGATGAGTGAGTTTAGGCACACGTAAATGTATCTGCTGTTTATAAATACGTCGCTAGTAATAGTATGCTCTTAAGCTTAACGAGTCCGTGAAATTCCCTTAAACACGTATTTAACAAACAAAATCGTACCTTGATGATGATGATTAACTTCTTGAACTTGATGCAGTCTGTCGTGCTCCCTCTGTTCTACTGGTGTTCTAAAAAATCTCGCTTTTCTCATGTGTTTTATTCTCGTATGTTAGTATGACAATTGCACTTGTATTGGGGTTATACACCAACTCTCTTTTGTCGTCTCGTTTATTGAGGGTCTGTTTGTTTTTTTCAAAATTATCTCTTAATACCTTTGAAATCTGATTTGTTCAGACGCTTGGGTATTAAGCGCGCTTTTTTAAATAAGAGCTTAAAAGCTCTAAATGTCCTTTAAAATTTTAAGTCGTAAACGTATCCCTTAATACCTGTTAATCCTAATCCGTCCTCTACCAAAATGGTTCATATTTCAGGGACTGGAAGAGATTTATTAGCAAAAATATTTATCATTTATACATTTGTAACAAATTATTTATCTTCTATATTTTTGCACTAGTTTGACCGATTTATATTTCAAACTTCAGAGGTAAAAACAAACAGTCTTACTGATCCATATTTCAGACTTCAGCACCACCTCTTATAAATCAGAAGTGAAATCAGACTTCAGACTTCAACATCTCTTAAGAAACAAACTCCGCCTCAGTGTCAAGAACACACAGTGTGTTTAAACATGTTCCTCATACATCTAAACCAGTCCTCCTCGTTCCTTAAATGTATAATTGATCCCATAACTATCTCTTTCCATGCTTTACAGCTTCAAACGAGCTCTGGACTATACATTGCTTTTTAGGTCTGAGATTTATGATTTCACACGTGAATCGCTATAAATAATAACATTTGTTATCCGTTCCATAGCCTTTCATTACACATATTGTGTTTTGTGTACGTGAACTTTTTATCACCCAAGTTTTTCAAACGATCAAAAAACGTACCTATACAATCTCCCTCAAATACTGATCAATAACTGATATCATAACGAGTTTCAATTTGAGACGAGGTAACTTAATATCCTAAAACCCAATGACACGTTTTAACAACTTAATAACGCTACCCAACAACAAAAAAATGCTGCTGAAACTGGTAAATTTCAGGCTTCTATTTCGAAACACGAGCATTAAAAACCGAGACTTTTAACTTGAAATCGTACCTAAGATTGATAGTATTTGCATGAACATTCATGTTCGACTATTTCTCAAGGCAAACATACTTTCAGGGACTGTTTATGCCATATACCCAAACTTGAATTATACAATCTTCAATTTTCTATTACACCCCCATAGAATTAGATAATGACAATTCGCACCCCCAAACTTCTATAATTCCCCTTTAATGGGATTTGTTCCATAGAAAAACCTACATCGCCATCGTTCCCCATAGACTTTCGGCCATGGCATCTACAGGCAAATCCCTCGTTCAAACCCTAAGGCGCTACATCAAGAAGCCATGGGAAATCACTGGTCCATGTGCGTCACCGGAATACAAGTCTGCACTGCCTCGTGCCACTGACTACCGGCCGTTTTGTCCGGCCACTGAACCGGCGAAGGCCATCGTCCCAACTTCAAATCCAGAGACCGTGTTCGATATCAAGTACTTCTCCCGTGATCAGCGCCGTAACCGCCCGCCCATCCGCCGCACCGTGCTGAAGAAAGATGATGTCGTCAAAGCGATGAAGGAGAAGTCGGTTGATGTCAGTGATTTACCTCCGGTTTATTTGACGAAGGCAATTGAAGAAGATTACAATGCGTGCGGTGGAGGTTATGTTAAGTAATCAGGTCAGCAAGTTAATCCCAATTCCTCAACCGATCCAATGTACTTGAGGTTTTGTTGTCATTTGGAATCTTGATTAATAACATTGCCTGCTTAATAGATTGTTGTGGAAATGGAAAAGATATGTAGATGAATTGCTTCAAGTTACATCTTTATGGGTTCGTCCATTGTATAACTGTGATTCTCATTTGCCTAAGGTTGGGGGTTCCTATGTCCACAAACTTTTGCTATGAGCCTATGAGTGAATGATTTGATTGTAGTTATTAACCGTGCTATAGCTAATGGATCTAGATTAAAGAAACTGCTGTCATACTGATCAAGTAAGTTGATGGATGATGAATCATAGGTATGTGGTTGTTGTTTTTACTATTGAAATTGAGGTCAAACGCATTGACATTGTCATTGGAGTTGGCTCTTAAATGCAAATGGATGACGGTATTCATAACCCCAAAATCGATATTGGTTGGATTTGATAGAGCAAGTTTTGTGCTATGATTTGGATGTGTTTATGCTAGAGCTTGCTAAAAGGGAATTGGAGAAGGTTTATGGTTCACTGTTGCTTTGGCTTATAGAGGTATAGATCTATAAGGGTATGTTTGGTATGACTGGATTGGTCGACCAACGGTGAGGTAGGGAGTTAAAAGAATTGTGGAAGGTTCTCGAGTTTTAGTTTGGCATGAGTAGTTTAGTAAACTACAATCTTTTCACATCTTCCTAGTTTTTGTTCCACCTATTTTGGTGGGACAAAAAACATGCATTTTTGTCCCACTCAGTCCCATCCTGCAGTCTTTTCCCAATTTAGTGTTGCGCCAAACGTGGAACAATAATGTTGGTTTAGCAGAAACAATTAGAGGCTTTCAATTAATCCTTTCCGGAGAATTAGATGGTCTTCCTGTGTTCTGTCCCGTGTACCAGAAGCACCCTAGTGGCTAGGTTCCTGTGGTTATTCTAGTTCCGGTAGGTCAAAGGCTCTCATTAAACAATCTGTCAAGTCAAACATTGCATTTTTTGGGATGGAGGAAGCATGAAATATAATACGTTGTATATAATTGATCATGAATAGTGTTCTCTTCATGTCAAACATATCTGTCATGTGGATGATTAGGAGTTTCTTTAAAGAGGCTGAGGAGAGGGGAATTTTCGAATGATATCACTGCGTCACCTCAGCTCCTGTGGGCTATGGCCATAGGAACTCAACTTTTTATGAGACACTTGAGTCGACAGACCCTGACAACTCCCGTTTTAAGCTTTTAGTGGTCCAAACTGTTCACATAAGGAAGCATAAGTCGATTTAGGTTCCCAAGATGGTGATTTGTCTATTGCTTCAAAATTATGCGATCTGTGACAAATTCTGCTCCCACATAAAACTGTATGTTGCCATTTCATTGTCGTTTGCTCTGGGGTAAGATGAGAAGTAATCTCACACGTAGTTAAGTTAAAATTCACTGCTTTTTCATTACCCATCATGTGTCGAAAAGAAAGGATGTAGACTTTCTTATCATTAAAATTTTGTGCCCTAACCAAAAAATGGAACATTGTTCATAGTGTATTTAGTACATAAAACTGGTTGGCATTTGTGCTGATTGATAACTGCCGAAAGCAAACATACTGTTTTCGAAATGCTTTGATTCAACTTTATTTTCATAGAGATGAGCGTAGTGGGGGGTCATCATCTGAAGAAGTATAAAGTGTCTGTGTGCTATTTTTACCTTATCCCTTATTGTCTACCAAATTATATCTGCAGTTTTGAGTCGTAAGTTTTTTGTTGTGAAAATTTAAAATGAAGAGTGCGTTTTACACAGAACCCAATTCAGTTTAGGAATTGAAGAAAACCATCTGTAACCTTTGACAAACTATATTTGTACTATGTCGTTGCAGTGCTGACTTCACAGGCCATGCTGACATGAAATTTCTTTAAAAGTAGTCTTATATGACATTATGGCTTGAACATGGTATTCAAATATTCATCATGCATATTATCACCCCACATAAATATGTGTGTATTCAGATTTCAGAAGATGTATCATGTATTTTATCTTCGGTTTTTCAAGAGTCAGCTTGTGTCTTTCTCTTTTCTGAGCCAAAGTGTAATTCTTCTTTTATCAGGTCTTCTTCTACTGTATCACATAAAATTCCTACATGACTCTTTATAGACATTCCTATTTGTATACATAGTTTCATATCTGTGTGAGCCTATGATCTTATTCTGCAATCTTCATCTGTCTACTTAAATGTCAAGTTTCAAATCTCGAACCCTTTTCCGTGCAAACATACCGTGTATGAAAATCCTTATGCTAGCTTCATTTCCACAAGACAAAGATAGTGGAGTGTCATTATCTAAAAGTAGAAGTACAAGGAGTCTGAGTGCTAGTTACATCATGTTTCCAGTTTTGAGTTGTAAGTTTTTGTTGCGAGTATTGTGAACTGAGGAGTGCAGTTTTCTCCAATAACTCCCTTCTTAACTTTTTTCCTTGTATCTTTTAGACAACGTAATTCTCTTCAGGAGTTGAAGAACATCACCGTTCATCTTGACACACTATAAGCTGCTGTTGGTCCCGATGCTGACACAACATTTCTATAAAAGCAATCTTGTGCAGCTCAGACATGACATTTCACCATGCACATTATGTGTGTATATGCATAAAATATATATACATACAGTCTATTTTTCTCCATTTCTAAAGAGTCATTTATGTCTTTCTTTGGAGAAGCTAAAAGCATAATTATCTTTTCGTCTTCTCTATTATATACCATAAAAACTCCATCACTTTAATTTACAGTTTCATTTCTGTATGAGCCCTACTGATATCATTCTGCTATAGATGGATCATTTTCTCATTGACTTGAAAATTTGAATCCTTTTCAAACCGACTTGATCTGTTAACTACAAAAATTTAAAATACCCACCTCCGGCTGGGGGTTTAACCTTTTCTGTCCAGATGGCTTCTTATTATCCACTCTCTTCATGTCTCTTTCTTTTTCTTGTTTCGTTTTCTAATTTTCTGATTCAATCAAGTTTTTTTGAGATCCTATGACCGACCTCTGATATGAAAAAGAAAATTGTGATAGCAGTGGCGAGAACAAGACAAGGAACGAGAGTTTGGGAAAGAGAGACCACATGGTCCTTATTATTTGTTAAAATATATAATTTTATATGCTGCAAATGAATTCACACACCCTCCTCACGGTTGGTGAGGTTTTGAACCCTGACCTCCTGGGAGGCTAGGCTCTAGTGGTAACCCGGATATTGTTAGCCCAAAGGCCCTGTCTTGCTAGGTGTGAGGGTCTTTGTGGTGAAACTTTGGGTCTTGTGTTGCTTGAGGCCTATCTGCTTTCATGAGCACACCTTGACATCTTATCCCTTCAGGCATGAGGCACACAAGGCTCGGATTCATCAGAAGGATGCAAAAATTGATGTTTTTGGTCATTTTGTGTAAACCAAAATTGTTGTCTTGGGCCATTTTGTTTAACTGAAAATGGAGCCCATTAGCATCTTTTTGTTGGGTTTCTTCAATGGAAAGATTCAGTGTGTGTGCGCAAGTTTTTGCTAGAGGATTTTGGAATGCATGGGCTTAATGATATAGTGACAAATTTCGAACATTATTGCAACTGCATCAATGACATAATTTTGTGTTTGGTTGTTCAGCACTTCACACTTCAACCAATCACAAGCGTGATACGATATAGGTGAACTCATGAAATGTATACTGCCAGCTGGATTTAGATGTAAATGACAGTTGCAGGCCTAGTGGGAATCGAGTGTTATTCCCTTGCATTGAAATATATCTAGATCATTATAACTTAGAAGCGTGAAATAGAAGTTTGGGCGACCAGCATTAGAAACAACGTATTGAATCCTGGGTCGAGCCCTAAAACCATCGGTACTTAAAAAAGATATTTGAAACATCGACCCATGCAACCTACCCCCTGAACCACACGGTCGAACTCAGTTATCCTAATGGAAAAACCTATCTTTGACGTTCTAGGGTTTGTAGCCCTGTAGTGTTGGCAGCCTAGCTGAAAGACGTTATATCGAGGTATTGTGTCTGACTGCTGCTTGTTGTGATTCCTCCCTAGATAGAATAAAGAACAAACATTTGGCAGTGCAGTGCAGATATCGTCAGCTATGGACTCACCTGATAGAAAAAGATGACAAAAGAATGGTAATTTCTCTGTGGAGCTATGAACCTGATACATTTTTAAACGTGGTACAACAGTGTAATGCAGATTTCAGTCATCGTAGTTGAAAGTTTGTGTAATGACCAACTACCCCTCTTATAAAACCAAACCGGTATATCCCACACAGAGGTGGGGTCCTCTACCCCGAGGGATATAGAGGCCGTTTTTTTGAAGACCTTGACAACCTAACTTCCACCACACTACCCTTCTCCCCTTCTCACCCTCTAAATACCCTCAACACCTCTCCCCTCGCCCTGGCTAGTGGCTACAGATCCCTACCCATAGTCTGCTACCCTGGTCCTACCATAGAAATTGCATGAGCAACTACTACTCCTATATATATATATATATATATATATATATATAGAGAGAGAGAGAGAGAGAGAGAGAGAGAGAGAGGGAGGTTCAGGGGAAAATCCCCAAAAAATGAAAAACTGAAGAACACCCTAGGTCCTTGCAACTGTTCATTTGGACGGTATGCACAAGTGCACACAAGCAATTTTTTGGTTTTTATGCATGTGTGCATGTTATGCACATGTGCATACGGGATGTTGGATGTAATTCTGACTTAGTCAAGTTGGTGACCAAGTCTGGAGGGGTGGCATCATGGACGTAGTGGAGTCCATATTTTTTTTGGGCAAATAAGTTAGCACTGGATCTATTCCTTAGCCAGAAGTAGGATATAAATAGCTTTTTCTTTCTTTTTGTGATGCAAGTTTTTCTTTGATCAGAAATCAAAAGGCAAAGCATTTAGCTCCATCTGTGTTCTTTATTCCTGTTCTCATGTAGAAGTGTGTGTGCTAACTTGAGTGTGCAGATCCTTCAGTCAGTTCTTCAACACGGGACACAAGTAAGAAAACAAAAACTGACCGATAAATCATATGTATGAACCATATATATGATGCTTACATTAGCCTATGATAATCCTATTCCAATTGGCAAAGGGAAGGCTTTGCCACTATGGTATTTTGTTCTTTTTTAGTCTATTCTGACCAATGTGGCACTGCCATTTTGCTCTTCAACGCTGACAGCTACTGGAAATGAAGTAATATATATATATAGGGTTAGGTTCATGGGAAAACCGAAAAAAATGAAAAAACTGAGGAACACCATGGTAACAGTTCATTTGGACGGTATGCACATGTGCATACAAGTAATTTGCAAGCAATTTGTCCCGTATGCACAAGTGCATACAAGCTATTTTTTGGATTTTATGCATGTGTGCATGTTATGCACATGTGCATACGGGACAAATTGCTTGCAGATTACTTGTATGCACATGTGCATATCGTCCACATGAACGGTGCTTACCATGGTGTTTCTTAGTTTTTCATTTTTTGCGGTTTTCCCATGAACATGACCCTATATATATTATTTCGTTTCAAGTAGCTGTCGGAGTTGATGAGCAAAATGGCTTTGCCATGGCGGTCAGAATAGACTAACAAAGAACAAAATACCATAGTGGCCAAGCCTTCCCTTTGCCTATTGGAATAGGTTTATCATAGGCTAATGTAAGCATCACACATATGGTTCATACATATGATTTATCGGTCAGTTTTGTTTTCTTACTTGTGTCTAATCTCTTCCTTTCTTGAAATTTGCAACACATTTTTAGCATATGGCAGTTCTATACTGGAATCCGATCTGAAATATCTATAACTTAATTGTAGTTAGTGGTGTAAACATGACGAACTCGCTCATGAGACTTGTAAACTGACTGGTCAAAAAGCTTGGTGAGCCTAAGAGGCTGTTTGGTTGGTTTTTCATTAAGTCTTGTATGAATAAAGTTGTCTGTGTGGATTAATCTGTTTGTATATATTGTGAATGTTTTTGTTCGGGAGGGTGTTTTCATAAATGGATGGAACATGTTTTTTAATTGGGATGACAAGTTTGGAAAAAACTTGTCTTTCTGCATAAAGCTTCCGCCTAGAATCTTATTGAGTAAGCCACTTTCTATATCATTAAGCCACTACCAAACAGTCATGTATAGCTGACCGAATAAGCTGCGAGTTCCATTAAGCTCGTTAAGCTGCTAACAAAGCTGAGGTGACTATCCGAGCTTAGCTCAAGTCTAGTATGGCTTGAGCTCAGCAGCTTGGTGAGCCTAAGGAGTGAGCCCATTCATACTGTTGAGCTTAATATGAACCATAGTATAGTTTATATTTATATTTATTTAGCCCACTGGTCTTGTTTTCATGGACACTTTCAATTACAACTTCTTAGTAGTTGGTTCTTTTTGTAACTTTCACAAGTCAGGGGTTTTCACAGAAACAACCACTCTACTCTTTGGGATAGAAGTAAGGTCTACGTGCATCTCACCCATACCCTACTTCTAGTGGGTTTAACTGGTTATGTTTAGTTTGTTTTTATTTTGTAATTTTATTGACCGGTTTATACTAAATTTTGTACGAGCCCTTATGAACCGTGCCAAGGCTAGAGCCTTTGGCAAGCTGACACCAAGCCTCATTTATATACTTGGCAAGCCATGAGCCATGCTCAACTCCTCTATACACCCCTAATTGTTATCTACATTTGCTATATGTTCATTATACCATATTTTATAGTAATGTTTTTCTTGTAGTGTTTTGCTTGTCTGTTTGTTTATCTGTCTATTGGAATGTTGTTGCTTATTTCAGACCCGTTTTTATATTTCTGCATTTATATTTGTTTATTTATTGAGCAAGCTTTATTCTTTTCTTTTCGCACACTTTGCACAAACCCGGGGTCTTCACACAAACAGCCGCACTACTCTTTGGGGTAAAGGTCAAGTCTGTGTACATCACACCCCCGGGAAGAAAAACCTCACTTCCGGGTGGGATTTATTGGGTTTGGTTTAATTTTTAGTGTACAATATTTTGGGCGAGGATATATTGGTCTATTTGCCTTGAATTAATCACATTCTTATKCTGTCTTTACCAGGTAATCTTGCGGGACTCAGGAATGACTTGCCTGCCACCAATAAATCGAACGTTGTTGTTTCTTATTGGGTAGTTTTTCTTGCGGTTGCATTCTTTCGTGTTTCCCTTTTTATCTTTCTGTGATTTTATGCCATCATACGACTTCGTTGAAAAAATAATTACAGTTGTATCGTTATAACACAAAAAATATCAAAATTGTGACGATGCTGCATCTTCTGAACTACTTGTGCGCATTTTTTTGAAAGTAAAGATGCTTTGATAGCATGTTGGGTGCGTTTGTTATGCAGTCCTAGACAGGATTGGAGTGTCAAGTGAGAGATAGGCGGGTTGATATGATTGTTTTAGGGTTTTAATTGATATAGGTAGTTTAGTAAATTACCTATCTTGTCTATCTCCTTGGTTTTTGTTCCATCTATTTTGGGGGACAAAAGAAGTGCATTTTTGTTCCAATCAGTCATGTCATGTCCTGTCCTGTCATGTCTGGTCAAATTGTGGCGCAACACCAAACATGGGACAAGCTTTTGTTATGTGCGGTTTCGTTTTGCATGCCAAATGCACATGTAAGTTGCCCATTCTTGGGCTAGGATGGTCTTTTTGGAACAGTATAAAGCATGCTGTTTGAGTTGTACAGTGATGTACAAGTACATACGCCATTACTGTTGCGCATGTTATTCTCCATTGCTTTCATTTTACTGTTTTGCTTGCACTTCTTTTTACTGCATATTCTCTCACTCTACGCATTTACACAATATATATATATATATATATATATATATATATAGGAGTGATCAAATAAAAACCGTTCTTATTTGTGTAAACCGTGCAAACCATCTTCATCCGTCGATTTCATTGTTTAATCTTATGAAATTTTTTCATGAAATTGTTTAATCTTGTGAAATTGTTTCATATAATACTTTTTTTTGAT